GAGGGTTACATGGTTGCTCATCGAAGCACATACGTATGATTTATTTCTCTATATAGCAGAAAATTGTTCCGTTACACTTCCATAGAACTAAATAATAAGCGCGATAAGACACCTTATTAAATGCAGCTGTTAAAAAGAAAAAAAAGCAAAAAAAAAAAGAAATATAGAATGTGGCGAGAATTTTTTTCACGTGACAGCTTTCTAACAATACAATAAGCTTTTAATTCCGTTAGTTGCGTTACACGATAGGATTACATTAGGATATCTACATAGATATCGAACAAATAACCTTCTCTCTTAATATCCGCACGCAATCGTCGAATATAAACGCGCGCAGAAGCGATGCAGAATATAAGAAGTTTCAACTGTCCGAAAGCTTTGCACACAGCAAAACGTCAACTCGCAAATCTATACAAGACATATCGGCTTAAAAAAATCAAAAATACTTAAAAAAAAATTTTTTAAAGATAATTCCGTTTTGGTACAAAACGTCTCTCGCGAGACCATGTAGCATTTGCATAAAAAGACAAAGTTTTCGCGAAGGACCGATTAAATGATGTAAAAAATTTTGCACGTACGTATCAGACAAAATGTAATATAACGAGACAACACGACCAACATCTATATTATTTACAAATATGCAAACTGTTCTTTGAACGAAAAAGTGCACTATATCCCGTGATAATATATTATTTTTCACATAGAGTTTGGTTTTTAATATATACATACACACACATATATATATATATAAAAATATATATATATATATATATATATGTATATATTAATTATGAATAATCATACATCGATGTCGTTATGATGTCATCATTGCTATTATTATCGTTATTGTCATTATTACGATTATTTTTATTATTATATCTCGTCAGCACATCATCACCGTCATCGACACAGTTATATTATTATCATCATCATCATTATTTTATTATTATTATTATTATTTTCATCGTCATCAACATTACCGTTTGACATCGTAATTGTCCTTATTATCGCTATCGCTATCCCTATTGCTACGATTACCCTATTATTGTTATTATTATCGAATCCCTTCTTTTCGTTGTCACATCAACGAATTATCGTAATTAGTTTCGTTACTGAGTTCCGAATGCTGTCATTACTGCTGCCGCGTTATCACTATGATCACTATTATCACGTTATCGCTACTGCCGCTGCTATCGCTACTACTATTATTACTATCTGGATCAATACGGTTACTACACTCTCTTATTATTACAATTATACGATTGATTATTATGATTATTATATTATCATATTATTATTATTTTTAAGCAATATCAAATGCATTTTAATATATTTTCATTTTTATATACAATAAGAAATGTACTCTATTTGGTTTAATAACTCGTTTGTGTTTTCACTTGTTTTTCTAGTCACCTATCACATCCTCGATAAAAAAAACCCCAGATAAAAAAAGTCATGTTTACATAACACTGCACCAGTTTATTCAGCGCACGCGAAAGTTTTGTCGCTGATATTTAATAGCGAAATTGATTCTTTTTTTTTTCAGCCGGAAGGTAAGTGATATCGATGCGTTATGGTTTGACAAATGTCCCACGCGGACGTTATTTTGTCATTGGTTAAAATTATAGTAACAGATATCATCGATATATATCATTAAGCTACAACGTTAAGATAAATCTCGCAGCGCTCCGATTTACAAACTTTTTATTTCGAGTGTTGCAATAAAAAAAACATTTTTCGCAAATAACTTTAATCCAACATTATCGCCGCTAGCACCGTGTCAATTGTGTTAAAAATTGGTTATATATACAAGGATTGCGCCCCCCGATACAGAAAAAAATAACAAACCAAGTGTCATTTTCAATTAAATATAATACGAAATCATGGATATAAATTTTGATTAAAAATTTGATTAAAAATTTTGATTAAAAATTTGAGACACGTAATTTTTCAAAAAAGAACAGATGGCCGAGATATAAACAATTATTAAACAAGAGAATTATAGGAAATAAAATAAATACCAATTTTGTATTTTATAAAATATCAATGTTTATAAAATAAAAAATAATCAATAATGAATTAATATCTCCCCAAAAATATGGAGAATGCATTCGCTGGAGTGCAATTGATTGGTCAGAGATAAAGATATGTAAATAATAATCGTGCGTTTCTAATATGAATTGCATATTGAGGCACTGTTTATATTTGTTTTATATTTCCTGTATTTCACTTTTATATTATATTTCGGCCTTGTAAATCACATTCGCGCGCAACCGAACGACGAAGATTGCAGTTCGGCTTGCATCGACGATCATTAATGCAAATAATGAGCTTTAAAAGTCGTCTTTGACACTTGAGAATTGATCGTGTTGATCAAGACGCACTGCCGTGAGGAGTACGAAGTAAGAACGATACGTTTCATCGATCAGGAAGCTCCTAACATTGCAATGTTCAATTTACCTTTGTCTCTCGAGCGAAATTTATTTTTCACATGGTATTTTCGAAAAGAGAGAAAGAGAGAGAGAGAAAGAAAGAGAATCTTGCAAGAGAAATTTCTGTCGCGAGCAAACGTAAGAAAAACGGTGAGTAAGGGCAAGAAAGAGATGTAGATAATATAAATATGAATCGTGAAAAATGAAATCCGCGAAACTGGGGAAGGCGACCGAAAGGATGATCCCCGAGATCTCGTCAATCAGACCAGAGAAGGGGAAAGGAAACGAGGGGGAGATCGAATTGAAAATTGTCGCGCGCAGCCCGCCAGAATCACGCACATTTATTATTACGTTTATGTTTACATTTATTTGTTTAGTTTTATTTTTCAAATTGCATGCTTTAAATGTCATCCAGAATGCTCAGTGTACCTACTCTCTCGTCGTCTCATTTCTCTCATGTCTTGTTAGACTTCGTGTACACATTTGAGACCCGTCGAACAATGTACATGCATATTCATAATATAAAAGTTGGCACAACCAGCTTGTATACATTCTACCTCCTGATAGAAGATATATATATATATATATATATATATACATATATATGCGCGAATGTGCGATTTTCCATAGGCATGTTCTTACGTTCCGTCCATTTTCTCTATTCCTACCCCATTTCCTTTCATCTTCTTATTGTTTTTATTTCTCCAAGTAATATATGATTTAAGATAGCTTTTAAAGATTATATTTTCAGCAAAGTGAGATATGTTACTAGAGGACTTCAAACAGTTAATGGATTAATTATTCTGAAGCAATCATGGACATGATTAATGAGAAAGATCGGATCGACCAAAATTGCCGCATAATATATTATACATATAAGATATAGATTGGCACGAAAGTGGTTATTATAATTCCATTACGACAACTCGGTAAAATTTATCACACGAGATGCGATTACGCGTTCATTATACGTTGAATATATATTTGATAAATGATGATTTTGTGTCCGAAACTGCCTTATAACGTACGTATATCAGAAAGTACGTGTTCATCGCACGTAACGCGATAATCGCAAAGTGGTAAACGCAACCCTCTCGGACTGTAAAAGCGCAGTGACTTGCAAAATGCCGCGCGTTAACAACGCACGTATATATAGGGTCGAGAATCCCTCGCGTAAGAGAAATTAAACGCGCAGAAATTCGCATTCTGTGAAGCAATGTGCATCCCCGTCTCTCTCCTCTTCCCGGCACAATTTCCCTCTCGTACACATATACGTATACACACACCTTCGCACCTGGCTTTCACACCACGCGTGTGCGAAGCACGTTGCGCTCGATCGTGCGTGTATGTGTGCGCGTATGCGAATTATTTCATGCATGTGCGTGCGCGCATCTCTCTTGTGTCCTTATCCCTCTCTCCGAATTAGCAGTAGTCGGAACTCCGAACAAGGCCGGCCGGAGGAGAGTCCGCCATCAAAGAAAGTTCTTACTTCGTTCCCCACGAAGAGAAACATAGCGCGCCGTCGATTCTTCCACATCTCCACGTTCCTTCCTCTTTTTGTTTCCAAGGACGTGCCATAACGTGCATAATTGCCTCTCTAACGACGCGAGTCCCGTTTTTAATGGATTGATTAATGCGCGGGGCGTGATCTATGTAGAAGAAGGATAGAAGAAGAAGAAGACGAAGAAGAGGAAGCGAGAGGGAGATTGCGGTGAAGAAAAGGATTGACTTCAGTCAGTCGCGCGCTGTGATCATTCGAGAGATATTTTCGTAAAAAAGACATTTTTTTTTTTTCAAACTTTTAAAGTTAAGTTGAAATGTAAATTTTTAAATCCGTGACACTTCGAACACATAGTTTGTTAGAATTTTTAATAATTACAAACGCCATATGTATGTGAAAGGAATTGAAATTATATCGCGCGAGAATACCGCTTTTATGATTTATCGCGAAAAAGAAGAATGAGATAAAACGAGACTTTGCAGAGAGTACCTATTGATGATGATGTGTGTAATTAATCGCGGGCTATTCGTAATAGTTTCATGATCTCTATGAAAAAGTTTACGATATATTTATTATACTTGCATATACTCTTGCTACAAAATATCAATCGTCACAAAGAGACAAATTATTATAAACTCTTCCACTCGGGTCTTTGACAACATATACGCAACATATACGCTATCGTTTTTTTTTTTTTTTTTTCGAACTTTAAAGGAATCGTAATCATCAGAAAAAGTACAAGGAGGAGAGGGAAAGTGTCGCGGTCGATTTAAAAAAAATCTCGAGCTATAGGGTTTAATAAGTGTGTTAGGGGTGTGCAGCTGCATGAGAGGTGCGTTGTTGTGTTTCAGTGCTCACCTCTATGACGGGGCTGACCTTGAACTCTCTGAGCACCCAGTCAGCGAAGAAGTTGTTCACCTGCCAACTGTGCGGCAAGGTACTATGCAGCAAAGCATCCCTGAAACGCCACGTTGCCGACAAACACGCCGAACGACAGGAGGAGTACAGATGCGTCATCTGCGAGCGGGTGTACTGCTCGCGTAATTCCCTGATGACCCATATATATACCTATCATAAGAGCAGGCCCGGCGACATTGACATTAAGTTCTTTTGAAGGTTTAGATAAGGTAGGGACCACCACACATATACATTCGCTATAAATTCCTATGCTGGCGCACAACATTTCTCCAGGATTTTAACATAATCTCTCTCACCCTTGTGCGATTTAACACACATATGCGTACACATTCCTCTCTTTCTCTATCTGTCCTATCTCTATCTCAACTTTCTGTTCTCTCTTCTTCTTATATACATATTCGCAAAAAACGGAAGCGCTTGGTATCTGTCGAGATTCCAATTTCATATTCCTCATTTCTTTCTCACGTGTTCGCTTTCGCGCGTCGACCAAAAAGGTGTATATCGTCCTCTCTCTCGTCGCGAGAGGGAGAGAGAGAGAGAGAAAGAGAGAGTTGGCTTCCTCCTCCTTCGCGAGAATAGTGCATGCCATCGCGAGAAACCGGTCCCGGCGACTTGTGCACGCGGGTACACATTTTCTTTCTCTTCTTGTTCGCCTTACGGTCGCCGCATCTTTCTCGCGTAACCGCTTTCTTTTCCTCTCTCATCCCGTCGTCCTTCGCGCCCCTTCGGTACCGTATGCGCTCTCGCCGATCGTGTTCTTCCGGTATTCGCCGGCCCGTTATACCTGCTGTCAGTGACTCGAGAAACTCTCCGACGCATCAGCGAAGCCAGCAATGCCGCTACATCGGCAAATTGATAGCGCGGGCAAGCGGATACGTTGAGGGGGAGGGAAGGAAGAAAGGATGAGATTTTCTAAAAATTCACCGGGAGAAAAACGAGTCGAGATATAAATATCCGCGTGGTCTCAACTTAAAATTTCAGATATATTTCAGATCTCTTTTCGATTGCGTTTCTACATACGGTTTGGGAAATTTCTTTTTTTACTAACGCCATTTATAACAAATATCTCTTAGCACTCCAACTGACGTGTGGTAAAAATAAAGATATCTAAATATTCCCTTCATTTATTTCAGTATCCTCTACGATATATGACGTCACACGATTAGAAATAAAAGGGAAACAGCATCGAAGACTTAATTTTTCTTTCATTTCTCGCGAGCGCGGAGATAATTTTATTATATATCTGTGCAAAAAGATTATTCTCGGATCCGCTAAGCAGCTAACAAAGATATTGAGAATAATTATACCTATCATTATCTTATTCTACTTTGTGCTTAGCGGATTATCGAAATTTGTGTTAACGAACCAAATCTTGGAACGACACATTGATTAGCTCTATTTACTGATCTCGGAGTCATGGGAACGGTGAAATTAAATGTCAAACTTTCTTTTGCAATTAACAATCAAAGCGACGACAAAATCTCGTTTGCGATTGGAAACTACGAACTACGATCTCCAATTTCCAGATCCTCCTTGTTTTCTTTCGTTTATATGACATCTACCACACTTTGTATATTTTTCTTCGTGTAGTTTCTTTTCTTTCAGTTCTAAACCACCGACTTAGCTATATATTTGTTGCTTGCTTGTTTGCATGTCCACCCCCCTAATTGTCCGCCTGCTGCCTGCTTGTTTGTAGCTTTGATTACGTGCCTGATTTCATTCGCATTTTTCTTGATTATTTTTTCTACTGATACTATTTCCGCGCGTTAAATCGGAAGAAAGTCGATGGAAGAGATTTGATAGTTAGACGATTTGAAATGCAATCATCGATAATGCGATTCAAAGTCGTGACAATTGGCAGAAATTATTTCGCGAAAGTATAAAAAGCAACGATATCGTGTATTCGTCAAAGAATTTTTACAGATTAAACGAAAAAAATTGAAGAGTATAATTTTTCAGATAACATTAAACATTTTCATCTTTTTCTTAATATATCATTTTTTTGTTTATTATATGATTTTTTATTCTTTTCTTTTAATTGTTATTATTATAATTTTTTTTTGTTATAATTTTTTTGATTCGGCAAAAACCAATAATTTCTAGATGAATATCAAGTGACAAGATAATTATAAGATTTTTATGCTAAGTATTATCCGTATTATTTATATACGGTCGCGCGAAATCAAATGCTCGCTTTTTAATCTCGAGTCAATTAACTTTTCTTCGTAAATTTCTCATTTCTCCGATTAATCGTACGACTATTAATTATCAAAATATAGCGTATGTTTAATTTTGGAATCTAAACATAAAACATTTAATTCAGTACGCGTAATTTCTGATACTAACGCCGTTACTAATCGCTACTGGCTCGATATGCACGCGATTATGTGATACACAAAGATCCCTCCCTCTCTTCTTCGTCCCTGTTTTCATTTTCTCTTCCTCGGTCGAGATCTTTTGGGCGTTTCGTGTATCATTCCGAATACTCGATATAGAACTCACAAGAGTAATAATGAATAGTAATGACAACTACACGTCTCTCTCAATGCTATCTAACAAACTTGTCTATCTAATTTAGCTATACGAAACTTTACGAAGATTTACTTATACACAACTTTGCATCACATTCTGAATTTATTTTCAAATGCAAGGAGATAAGTCGATATAATCAGAGCTGGTAATTCGGAATATAATTTTTTTTTCACGGATTATTGATTCGTATAAAAAATTATTATACATGATTGATTTACGTAAAATATTGAACATTTTCATATATCATAATAGTATAATAAATTTTTATAGAATATTTATAGAATTAACTGTGACAAATAAATTTGTTACGGACAGTTTAAAAAGCAGACTTAACTCTTAAAGAAAAATTTTCAAATTTAATTTTTAAGAGAAATGAGTTGCTTTACATTTGATAGATAGTGACATTTTCAAGACGAGAATAATTCAACAGTGGAAGTACCAACTCTGAGTTTTATTTACGATCGATATGTCACTGATCATAACGATTGTATCGTATTTTTATAGCATTGCCTAAAAATGAAGCGGAAAACGAAAATTTAAGAGTTTCGATTTTTAATCTTTCATGCTGTACATGCGGCAAACTGTATACACATTTATCGCGAATAAGCATGAGATTTCTGCTTTGCGCGTTTACAGCATCAAAGTCGATTCGTAAATATCGAACGCTATAATACTTATAATCGAATCTTCATATTCTTAATTCCTCGAGACCAAATAATCTGTCTCTATTCTTGACTCTTTCGCTTAATCCCTATTCTTACTTCAACAAAGAAAAATATAGTCACGCTGTCAATTTATTGTTAGAGCGAAGAAATGCGTATCCATAATTTTATTATGCACATTTTATTTTATCGTATTACGTACATATTCTAAAACTGTCTAATCCGTATCGATTATTCTGCATATTCGTTAAAAAAACATGAAATTTAAAGAAACCTATAAATGAAAGATAATAAATCCATTTTTTTACGGAGCTGTGCTATACTTTTTTTACAATGAAATAGTCGTAAGAAGAAAAAGAAATAAAAAAAGTATCGTTTCTTATATTTTGAAGCGGAGTTATGGATACGCACGACATCTTCTATCATTCGCTCGCTTTCTTATCCCAGTTGTACAGTCACGTTACGGAAGAGGAAGGGAAGCGTGTTAAGAGTACGGAGATTCGATCGCGTGATTCTATTAACCTTCGTCGGATGTTGTTCTCGTCTCCTGAGAGCGATCTTACACGAATCTGGATACGTTTCAGGTACGGGCAACGGGATGCATCCGGCACCGACGACGCCTCCCACTGTCATGTACCGAATGCCGCCGCCTACTCCGGGTGGCATAAACGAGCCTCAGGAATGCCCGTACTGCCGTCGCACGTTTTCATGCTACTACTCCCTCAAACGTCACTTCCAGGACAAACACGAGCAATCGGACACGCTCTACGTCTGCGAGTTCTGCAACCGTACGTATCGTACGAAGAACTCGTTGACGACGCACAAGAGTCTGCAGCATCGCGGCACCAGCGGCGTGCTAAAACGGCTCCTCAAGGCCTCGGCGATCAAGAACGTTCTTGGTAACATGCAGCATCATCATCAGATGCAGATGCAGCAGCAACCGCAATGAAAACGTCGGAAAAGTCAAAGCCTCCCCGTGTCGCTGCCGCATCTGCGGAATCGCCGTCGTCGTCGTCGCCGTCGTCATCGTCATCGTCATCGTCATCGCGCTGCTATCGTCGTCATCTCGCAATTCGTTTTGCTCGACATCAATTAGCGCACCACGAGAATCGACAACAAATGATCGAAAACATACGAAAATAATGCCATCTTGCGTTCTGAGATGCGCTTGAGCTGAGCCCAAAATCGATTAGAATGGATGGATTAGAAATATGGTTAATCGAATCCACTTCCCTTTATCTAAATTACCGATCCGCGATGTAGAAAAAAATGAATTGCTAATTTCGGAGTTCATTTGTCTCGAGACATCATTCACTTACTGTCGAGTCTAAAGTCATTACCGATACTGTAATTCAGATAAAGGTAAAGTTGATTAATCATATTTAATTAACTAATTGAAGCAAATTAATAATAATTTGAATTAACATAATCTTCTTTCTCCATCGGTTATATTTCGGTTTTCATTTTTATCCGTAGCTTGGAAAAAATAGCAAATCGTTATATATAATCGTTGAATTAACCAATTGGTTAACTTATTATAAGTTGCAGTGAAATTCGAAAAATCGTCACGGCTCATTTACTCTTCTTGCATTTGCAGAACATGTAATGCATATCGCGAGACATTAAAATGGAAAACGGATGAGAAAGAGAGAGATGAAGGGAAAGCAAGGAATTCCAAAATTAAAGTCTGAATCGCGTCATTTTGATTCGAATTTCGGATTTTTTTTTTTTTTTATTTTTTTTTTTAGTTTTCCACCGTTTATCCATCGACATACGCACACACGGTTCTGCTAGTTTAGATTTGTTGTAGCGTAATTTTTCTTCGTCAAGACTGCAATGAATCCAAAGAAGGACAATTTGACTGAGAAGCTTTGTAATTCGACTGAAACGAGGAGGAAACGAGACGAGGCTTGAACGTTAAGGTTAGTACGCGAAGCGAAAAAAAAGAAAAAAGAAAGAAAAACACATTCCATTATCAGTGATGCGAATCGCTGGTGACTCGAGTCGACCGAGATGTCGACTCCCCGGCAAGATTTTGCGCGGGAGATTTACGCATTTTCGAGGACGTTATCCCGCCGCGTGTTTTTAACTTAGTGTTGTTCAAAAAAAAGTGCACATCGCAAGAAATATAAAAATATAAAAAACGTGTTAGAAAGATTAAGGAAGCGTATTTAGAATAGGACGTTTGTTCGGAGAGGAAACAGTCTTCCGGGAATCGTTTCCGTGATTGAATTCACGAGTTTACGAGTGGAATTTTTTTTTTCTATATATCGGGACACACGCCTAACAGTTTTCACGTAGATAATGCGCTCAATGAATCACTCGATACGGTGATGAATATCAAAGTGTTTTCGCGATCTGCGTCGTGTTTGCAAAATATACACCTTACGCGCTCGCGAACGGAATAAGGACGCGAAAAAAGAGAAAAACCTTCGCGTGTCTCTTTTCGTCGAGCCTGAGACGGACAATTTTCAATCTCGCGTCGGATCTGAGATTTAAACGGACGATTGATGCAAGCCGAGAGAGGTGAGACAATCGATCATCAAACGAGATCGCGAGAACTCGGGATCGAAAATCGCGCGCTGCGCGCCGAGATCGTTTTTACGTGATACATCGATTTCGACTAAAGAAAGAAGGACGAAGCGGATCGACGACCTTAGGCCTAATGGCGAAAACGACGGACGAAACGAGGACGCATCCGATGCGTCCGAAAAGTTACGCTGGTCGATGAAAAAGCGATCGCAGCAGTAATCGAGGTCGCGACGATGTTGCGATCGACGGTTTATAATATTTGAAAGGAAGGGAGGACGAATATCAGTTTTACGAGAGACACGAAACAAGAGAAAGGTAAAGAAGCGTGTGTAGACGCGGAAGTGGTAGAGCTATATCATGGGTTCTTAACTTGTATATGTAGGTTTGTCGTATGCGCTAAATACAAACTATATTTTTAACTCTTTAAAAGTAATATTTTGAATTGTAAATATATTATATTCGTACGATACATCGATAAACGATGATATTCTCCTGTTCAAATTTTATAAAAAATCGGCATAGTCCTACCATAGGTATCTCATGAACGAGCGGAGCAGTGGAAATGCGAAGCTTTCAACAGCTTTCATTTTTCGATTCATCGTTTGAGATTTTTAAGCGAACGCTCTTAAAAACCTATTTCCCTCAACGCGCATTTTTTAACGAGTCATTGATCAAGCCGAGAAAAATTGCTCCATTTTCCGCGTTTGTTTGTCATTGCGAAAGAGATGTGTTTCGCAAATCGAATTTTAAATACGATTGAAATATAGCTTCGGTCTGTGCGCGAACGATTATAGAGAATACACTGCTCTGCTCTTCAAATTTTAATATATCCATATTAACAAATGTACAAGCAAGAAGAAACCCTAAAAGTTGTTCATCGTAACATATTCAGGTTTAAAACTCAGCGTAGAGAACGAGAAAATGTTGATGTTTTATCTGTAAGGCTAAAAGGAAATGCCATAATAATTAACGAGCAAGTACAAATTATCGTGAAAAATATAAATTATGTCTACGTCTAACTCTTAGGATGCGTAGTATCGGAAAGGGAATATTTAGCAAAAAGAAAAGCGCGGGGAATTAAAGAAAAAAAAGAAACGTACGGGGAAGGACACTGCCTGCCTCGAATTTCATTTCGCGGCCAGGTAGAACGAGTTAAAGGGAGGAAGAAAGAAATAAATACGCGAGGGGAAAAGGACGAAGGGTATAAGCACGATTTTCCAAACATATCTTCGAAGTATGAAGTATACTGTGAAAAAAATATACGATTTTAGATATTTAGCTATCTCTATATCGAGAGATTTTATAATAATTATTACGTATACATTCTTAAATCGGTAGACCGATTCTCGATGACGTTTGGTCAGGGCATAATGTGGAGAGCACGATATGGATTGAACGAAGCGCGGCCGCGAGATATATTTTGCGTTTTTCGTCTTTCTTATTATATTATTTTTTTCGTTCTTGAAAAAAGTCACTTTGGAGCTGCTAAGAAATGCGCGATTGGTTAGTGAGGAAAAAATTATCCTAGTCATTCCGGAAATTTTTGTGATTCTGTGATATCGGGGATCGTGGCATCAAACGATTCGACGCGAAAAGAGGCGAAAAAAGAGGGAGAGAGAGAGAGAGACCAAAAAAAGTATATGTCTGTTCCACATTATGATCGCCGGGCGTACTCTTTGAAAAAAATCTTTTAGCGACAAAAAAAGAAAGAAAATTAATATTGATTATATTATTAAATATAAAATGTCGGGAAATTTCTGTGATGTTTTTCGGTTGGTATACTAGCGCGATTGCTAAAGCTATGTGAACGAAAAAAAAGTATACGGAATTTTATGTCGATGTTCGGTGTTGTATGATATATTATAAGAGGCGAGACTGTGCGTCGGGGAAAAATTTCATCATACTACTTCGAAATTCTCGAGATGGGGTGAAGATAGGAACGGGATGGTGGACAATTGCTGATCGATCTGTTGATTTAAAAAAAAAAAGTCATTTTTTTCAGCAAATTTCGTTTCAAAATCTTGCCAAAGTGTTCACAATTGATCGAAGAAATGTAGTAGAATGATTGTAAAGCTCAATAGTTGAAACTATTCCTATTTCATGGTATATTAAAAATTTCACAAGATTGTATGTACGCGAGAATCGAGAAATAATATATCTATTTTTCTCTCCGCACGATAAATGCATCCAGAACGATCAACCGTTGCCATTCATCGCAGATAGACTTAGTCTAGTGTAAACGTCTAGTAAAGTCATCCGCACACGCGTGTTGTGGGTGGATAGATATGCGCGCACGAGTGCGTGCGAGGGCGTGTTTGCGTGCTCACTCGCATTACGCGTCCCCGCGTGCACACGCAGGCACGTCGTAACTATTGCAGGGTAAATGACCCATCACACGCCGAGGCGGAAAAAAACCCGCGAAAAAAAAAAGAGAAAAAGAGGGAAAAAAACAAAATGACTATAGATTATTTATCGGAATGTGCCAAGGTCCCGAACCGTTTACACACGGACGAAATTTTAGGTAGGTAGGTAGACGCGCCCCGTCTCTCCCGTCGAGTGGAGAAATATTATCATTATTAATAAAGCTAATCGTTTTAGGATATAAAAGAGAGGTACGATTTAAAGAAAAAGAAAAAAAATATTACACAGAAAACATTTTTTCGAATCTTTAATGTCATTGATGAACTCTCTTCTTCGTCCCGTGTATGGTTTTTAAGAGAGAAGATAATTACGTGGCAAAAATTAAAAAAAAAATATTTTTGATTCTATCTAAACGTTATCTTTCGCTCGCATCCTGTGTATAACGTGCATGTATATATTATACGAGATGTATAAGGAACCGCGTTTTGACTCCCGACACGATACGAGAAAACTGTAATTTACATTGACGTGTAACTCAACAAGATTTATTGCGGCGGTAGGGTGCGATGCGTGTGTTGCTTCGAGGATCGTAGCGTCTCTCTCTGCGGTTCACGCAGTTATACTGTTTACTTAAAATCACTCGATTTTCGCCTGTCGACCGGCGCGACAAAATGGTGCAATCTCATCGTCAACAGATTAAACGTATATTGTTAAAAAGAAAAAAAAGCGGGAACGTTCATGAAGAAAGGAGCGTTCTTCGCACTCCGCGCTGTTAACAGCTTCCTTTTGACCCGTTAAAAGAGTTCTAAGTTAGTCACCCATTCTTCGACGAACGGGGGTTCTTCGGTATAAATTCAAATCGATATAACTCGAAGAGGTCAAGTTTTTACTTCCTGGCGCTGTGACGAGACTACAATTGATACGCGAATTTATACTTTTGAGAAGGCTGATTTTTTTTGTAACGTTTAATTGTCGATTTATTTAAAGACTCAAATTTATTTCTACTAGTGTTTCCTCGTTCTTCTTAATATATATATATATATATATATATATATATATATATGTATGTATGTATGTATGTATATATATATATATATATATATGTATATTTATATTTTTTTTTTTTTTTTTAGAGGAACCGACTGATTAGATTTTTCTTTTTTTTTTAATTGGTTTAAAGTTTTCTTCCATCGTGTGTGATATTATATTACCAAAGAGCATCGAGAAAACTTTGTAATACTTTCTCCGACACGAATGATATTCACCTTGGAAAATATCGCATCTATGATACGTCGATAAATTTTCATCGAAAATCGAGCGACATATTGTTTTTATTTTTTTTTATTTTTGTATCTTCTATTTTTAATAAAATGCAATATTTTGACTAAAAAAATAAATATTAACTGACAAAAGCGATGCTAAATAATATTTGGCGATTGTTCGTAGCTCTTATTAACATAGGGAATATCATGAGAGTCTGAGAAAGTTATAAATCTATTGTTTTCGATAGGGGAACACTCTTCAATTTTAATGAAAAGAGTAAAGAAATTTTTATTTCCAAAAGGGGGATCAAAAAATGGAACTATAAAACGGAAAACAAAGAGAAGTAAAAAAGAGTACATGCTAATCAATAAAACAAAATAACGATGTAATTATACGAAATTGAAGACAAAAAAAGAACGTCGTGCATAGGAGAAAGACTACTTAGATTTATTTTTATTATATGTCTTCGAAAAGACTTTAAATAAAATATTTAAATTGTGCCATAATTAATATTAAAAAAAATCTTAAGTATAAATTTATTGTTACGAAGATTTTTAAATTTATCGGAAGAAAATTACAAAAAAAAGGAGACGAAAAGAAATGATGAAATGATAAGAAAAAGAAAATATCATTACTGTCTATATGGGTAAAGCTAATGCATAGTACGATAATACTTAGAGAACAAAACGTCGTGTCAATGACGTTTAATGACGATTATTGTATCGACGAAGAGAAAATATAGGATTATAAACGGTTGGTTATTTACGCTCAATATAACTAAGAACTTACGTATAGTACGTATCTTTTCTACTTGTACCAAAAATTTTATTGCTAACTATCGACTTTGTTTTTTTTTTCTTTTTTTTATGTATGTACATAGGGCATTACCTCATATCGTTCTTACCGAATATGCAATGCGAGATTATGATTAAGATGTTAATTAAATTCGTTTGAATTTAAATGTCCGACTACAAAGACGATTAGTTTTACTAGATGCAGATATTCGGAGAGCAATCTAAATAGATTACGTTTACGGTGATAACGTAAATTGCATACGATTATAACACATCGCGCATTTTGTGCGCATGTGACGAAGATTATTACATTATATCGCGCGCCGACATGCATTATGTCAGCGTATAATGCGTAATTCGCACGATGCGGCATCAAGCTTCGACGAATATCTGGCTAATGCAACTTATCGTCTACAGTCAATTTAACATCCAATTCAATTATTCGGGCCAATGAGAACTTAGCAAGACTTCAAACGTCGCACGTCATCTATTGTTGAGTGAAACGACACTGGAGAATTTAATGTACCCCTTGAATGTACATACGTGTACTCCCTAGAGAGAATGTGTGTGTATATGTGTATATGTGAAAGAGAAAGAGAGAGAACGAGAGTCCATGTGAATATACATCTCCAATGTATAACTGAAGTGTATATGTGTATGTATATGTACGTATGTATACGTATACGTATATGTATACGATATATATCTGTGTATATATTAGATTTAAGGAGACACGAGCGTAAACGAATGAGGTATGCGCTATTTTCTTAATGTATCATACAACGTAATAGACACGCGGAAAGGATTTGTAACAGCTGCGGATTCGTTTTGCTATTATATAAAAGTGCTCGGGGAGACGGATTCCGCGGAATTGTCTTCCTCGAGACAGAGAAAGATCGAGAATCAATGTTCTCTCGTATAAATGTGGCTAGAAATTTCCAGATTTCGCGCATCCGCAGTAGTTATACATTCCTCTTCTCGCTCTTCACGCATATTGTACGTCCGTTATTTCTGATACTATTATGGATATCCATTGTACGTATATTAAACATATCTTCCGCGAGAGAGTCTACCCACATAGAAAGGAGATACTTGTGTATTCTAACATCGCCGGAGAGTTTTATATATTATGCTTTTTATGTATCATATATTATGATTATCTCATTGTCACCGTCATCGTCATCGTTGCCGCCGCCATAATCTTCACCAGCGTCACTCTCATTGATAATAGCATCATCACACACATCATCCTTCTCATCATTATAATTATTTTACTATTATTATTATTAATTATTGATTATATAAATATATTATTATTATTAGTAGTAGTAGAGCAGCACATTAGTATAATTTTTTTATTACTATAACTACTACTACTACTAGTATGATTACACTACTGCTGTTATATTGTTATTATTACTGCTATATTGCTATAATTTTCAATTATATTGTCAATAATTTTTGTTATATTACAATACGTTTATTATAAGATTATAGTTTAATCAAGTTTCGTTCACATAAAAAAATGTGTACAATATTGACAACTGGTCGATTGGAACTGGTTATGTTGTACTATGCACGCATAAATATTGTATAGACACCTTTGTTAGAATATCTATCTTTTCAGATCCTTATTTTTATTTCGTATTCTATTACGACGTTTTATAAAACCGATTGTTTAAATGATGTGTTAAGGGATCTTATATTGAATGCTTATTATTTTTATTATTATTACACACGCAGTTATTATTATTATATTATAATAATATTATTATTATTATTGCCGCTATTATAGTAATTACAATTATTATGACTATATTGCTGTTATTATGAGTACTCTATATTACTATATTATTATCGCCATTCACCAATCTGCAATCATCTTTTACAATTAATACCGCTATCGCTACATAATCGATATTGCTATTATAAAGAGGTACTATTTATTCGGAAATTCGTTGTGACATATGTATTTTTGTCCGCAAGTCTGAGATGAGAGAGGGGAGAGATACATGGTCACGACGTGTATAGACTGCGACTCGCGAATCGCGAAAAAAAACTTGTTCGCTCGCGTTGCCCAAATGTTTGTCGACGCGTGCGCGACACTAGGTATCCATCCCTTTTTATCGCTACATTGTAAGCTTAATTTTAGTTGCATCATCGTCACAGAGATCATAAGCTGTCGAAGTGTAGAACGGGTCGTAGAACGCAAAAGGATCCACGTGTTGCAAGAGCAGATCAGAAATAGCATGCTTTTTCGGTCTATAATCTTTTTTTTTCTCTCGAGAAATCCTTACATCTGTATCCGAAGAAAGAGAAGATCAACGAAAATATCGAGATTATCGCGAAGGAAGTAGTTCTCGCGTGGACTCTGCTTCTTACACATTCCCTCTCGGGTTCATATTTCTTTTCTATACTCGAGTCTTGATATAAGTAGTGCACGAATCTCGAGATCAACCGAATGAAAGATCGAGTTATGATACGGCAAGATTAAAGAAAATCGAGAAAAATTTTTAAAAAAATTGCAGGTTTTAATAAAAAGTTTGAATGTCTTTTTACTACGAGTAAAAATAAGATATCTTTGGCAAAAACTATTTACTTTCTTAAATTTCGAATGATTTCTAATCGATTAAAGTGCAACTTAAAATTTTTTACGATTTGTCCAAAGTTGTTTATATCGTAAATTCATATTTAATTATATATTTATATTCATCATGAGCTCAACAATTGTAGATTACATGTCTATTATTTTATTATTTCTACAAATAATATTTTCAAAATTATGTCGAAATACTGCATTATATCGAGGTTCGAGTGCATCTATGCTTTTTACATCCCATCGTCGTACGAATGTCGATTGACTCACTAAAGTCGATCAATTTAACCGTAATAGAGAAAACGATGTGTATCAATACGAGTCCGTGTTAAGTTTTTATGCAACGGATTACGCTTTTCGACAAGAATTCTCGCACAATTTCGCGACGTTGTGGAATCTTCGGTGGACAATCACGGCCCGACTATAATTATAATGT